GCTCTCTCCCAGAGGCAGGTAGAAAGGAGGCTTTACCCATCTGGCATATTAATTATGATGTGTCTTGGTGTGGGTCTCTTATTTGGGACTCTGCCCTTCCTGGACTTGTAAGTCTATTTCTTTCACTAGATAAGGGGTGTTTACTATCATTATTTCTTCAAATACATTTTCAATTTCTTGCTCCCTCTCTTCTCCTTCCTGCACCCCCATGATGTGAATGTTGGTACAATTAAAGTTGTACCAGAGGCTCCTTATACTCTCTTTATATTTTTGGATTTTCTTTTCTTCTCACTCTTCTGATTGGATGTTTTTTGCTTCTTCATATTTCAAATAGCTAATTAGATTCTTGACATCCTCTACTCTACTACTGATTCCCTGTAAATTATTCTTCATTTCAGTTAGTGTATCCTTCATTTCTGACTGGTCCTTTTTCATGTCTTTGATATTTTCAATAAGTTTCTTGAAGCTCTCATTGAGTTCCTTGAGCATCCTTATAACCATTGTTTTGAACTCTATCTAGTAGTTTGCTTGCTTCCATTTCATTTAGCTCTTTATCTGCAGATTTCTTCTGTTCTTTCATTTATCACATGTTTCTTTGTCTCCTCATTTTGGCTGCTTCCCTGTGTTTGTTTCTATTATTAGGTAGAGCTACTATGTCTCCTGGAATTGGTAGAATGGCCTGGTGTAGTGTGTAGTAGGTGTCCTGTAGGGCCCATGGCTCAGCCTCCTCAGGAATCTGAGCTGGGCTGTGTGCACTGTCCTGTTATAGCAGGGGTGGGCAACCCCTGGCACGCGTGCCAAACATGGCACGCCAGTAACTTTTGCTGGCATGCAAAACCCTCTCTTATAATCTTCCATTTACAATTTTTTTTCTTAATATCGACTTTTTTATTTTTCAAATAAATTCAGTGTAGGTGCATCTTAGATAAATAAATAATTTTACATAACATGTAAACATTAAAAAATAAATGTATTTTTCATCATCATATACTGTGTTTTTGTCGCTCGAATGAATTTTATTATTTCTTCAAGGTTCTTCACATACATACACCTTAAGAGATATCAAGTAGGCGTAACATGTTCTCAAAAAATTAGGGTTGGCACGCAGAAGAATTTTGAGTCAGAGATTTTGCTGGTTTTGGCACGCACTCACAAATAGGTTGCCCACCTCTGTGTTATAGTTACACCTCTTTAGGTGCACCCCTGTGTGGGCTATGTGTACTGTCCCTGTTATAGTTGAGCCTTGGCTGCTGTTGGTGTCACTGGAGGAATTGACCCCCAGGCCAAGTGGCTGTGAGGACCAGCTGCAACTACAGTGGAAGAGCTGCTATGCAGGGGATAACCCCCATGGAGCTGGACTTGCTTCAGTGGGACTTTGGTGCTCACTGAGTCCGCCCCTTAAGTGTATCACTCATGGATGTGGTAGAGTTGTAATCTGGTGTGGTCTGAAGCTGTATGCCAGTTGCATTGGTTCTGGGGTCTCCCAGGAGGTGCAAAGTCAGCCACTGCCTATGCCCTGGCTGGGGCCACCCAGCATGAGCTACAGAGCAATCTGAAGATGGCTGCTATTTCTGTTGGGCTTAGAAAGTGCCCAGGAGAGGCCAAGCTGTTAATCTTGGCAAGTTGCTGCTAGTGTCAGGCCTGAGGCCACTTACCGAAGTATGGGAACACTGAGTCCAGCTGCAGTTTGTTTGAGAGATTTTAGTAAAGTCTGAAGCCTGAGTCAGGACAGACCATTCATATAAAAAATAAATTGCAAAGAGTTTGGATGAGGCTGCAAATTGGGTGGAGCATGGTCTCAGGGAATCTTCAGGGTGAGGCAGACAGTGTGGCCCAGGTTGATGGTGACTCAGATATGGTTCCTGCCAGTCAGCTGTGTGTGTGGGGGGGGGAGAGGGGGGCGGTCCCAGCTCTTTTGTCTGGGAGAAAGCTGCTCCTGAGTTCTTGCACTGATGCCAGACAATTTAGTTCCTCTCCATATGTCCCTGGATCCTGTAAACCTGCTGCCCCAGTGCTATAGCTCAGAGGGAGTGAGTCAGGGTAAGTCCATGGACAGGCCTTTTAAGAGGAACTGCCTGGGACTCTAGAAGCCTTCCAGGCACTGGAACCCTAGGCTAAGGGTCCTGGTGTGGGGCTGGTACTCCTTGCTCCGCATGGGATATCCCTCACAATTAAAAACATGCCACACATGGATGTCAGACTAGCCCATTCCGTGCCTCTCCTGTACCTCCTACCAGTTTCAATGTGGCTTCTTTTTGAATCTCTAGTTGTAGGACTTCCATTCAGCAAGATTTCAGGTGGTTCTATATTTTAGTTGTAATTCTGATGTGGTTGTGGGAAGATGCAAGTACCAGCATTTACCTATACTGCCGTCTTGGTTCCTCTCTCTAAATTTTCAAAATTTTTATAAGCAGTTTTTGCTACCTTATATCAGAAAAAGTTTTTCAAAATTCAATTAGTTTCCTTAAGGAAGAGCTCCATGTTTCTAGTTTCCATTCCTTTCCTTAGTTTTGACAAGATCATAATTTTCTTAATGACAAAACAAAGATTTCAACTGTAAAATAAACAGATGAATTTTCCTCGAGGGGAAAATAAGCTATCATAGATCAAATGGTCTTAGTGAGTCAGAGAATAATCCTTTAAAAATCTGGTTTTGTTGTAAGTCTCCAGGGCTTTGAGGTTTAATCAAAATGCTGAATCTTTAAGAACTTCTAAAAACTGTATTATTAATGGTCCATAGCAGGGATGGAATAAAGGGCACTATTTTTCTTCCTTTGTTTTATCTTGATCAACAGGCTTAACCTATAGACTTGTTCTGATGCACCCTCAACAAAGGTATATAGTATTGTAGCCACGAGTATTGGTATGTTTGGAGATTGTTTAGGAGAGCTGGGCTAACCCTATTGATCACACAGGTGTTCATGGCTGAAGCAGAAGATGAGTAAAAGCCAGTAAGAACCTGTCATCATCTGGCCTTCCCTGGAACCCTGTTGGTCAGAGGAAGGAGGCAGGTGGAATGTTCGGGGAGAACTATGAGGGGTGTTTTCACACACTCATTATCTCATTTAATCTTCACAACATGGTAGTCTCACTCTACAGAGGAAGTCACAGAGGCCCTTGAAGGTGAGTGATATGGCTAAATTCACACTCCCGGAGTGGGTGTTCATGCAAGGTCTCTAACCTAGATCATAAGGATCCATCCTCTTGGGAGAGGACTGTAAGAAGACAATGAGACCAGACACCAAACAATAAAACATAAAATTAACTAAACATGCTACCATATCTTATCAGCTTTCTTATTTGTTCAAGATATTTACCCCCATTTTCATATAATAAATAGGTAAAGGGTTAAAGTCTTACATAAAATTCTTCAGGTGCTTCTGGAGGTCCTGGAAGTAGAGAAGCCTTTGGTGGCAATTTGAGTTCATAGGTCATTATACTCCACCTGAAGGGAGAAAAATCTTTGGTCTAAAATTCCCTTAAAATTTAATAAACTGGCTATGTCTAACTTCATATACAAAAACATGCACATATATGAACTATGGTTTATTGTATTTTAAAACAAACAAATGTGATTGAAGATAAACTGCACTTGAAAAATAAAACAACCAAATATGGGAAAAGAGATGAAATTTTGGTAATTTCACCATATGCTGAATTCATAAGTTATGATTTCCATATCCTATCAATTCTCTGTGTATTCATGACTTCCAAACATTTTAAGGCCATGACCCAAAGTAAGAAATTCGCATGTCTAATAATTCCACTTCTTCACCAGATGCAATGCATTCTAACTTTTCTATTCTTGTCTGTTTCACTTTTAAAATAATGCTCACTGTAATTTAATAACTAGATTATACAACTTACTAATGGATCACAACCCAAAGTTCCAAAACACCATCCTAGATTAAATAAATGCACACTACCTATAAAAAAAATCATTCTCCATGTCACAACCAGTCATGCCACGGGTTCTATTCCCAGTCAGGACACATGCCCTGGTTTCGGGCTTGATCCCCTGTGGAGAGTGTTCAGGAGGCAGTTTATTGAAGATGTTTCCCTCTCATCGATGTTTCTCTATCCCTCTCGCTTCCCCTCTCTCTAAAAAAATCAATAAAAAATATATATTTTTAAAAAGAAGTACCAGGCAGACAAAAATATGTCATTCTTACTCTAAGTGTCTCCACAAACCTGTTTTCATCTTTGTAAGAAAGTCACAAGAATGCTTATTAGCTATCCCACATGTTGTTTTGAGGATTAAATCAATTGATAATAAATGAAAAAGTTTTGATAATTTGGAATATTATGAAACAGCAATATTTTCACCTGGTCCCTATAAACAGTATTCTTAAGGTAGTAATGAAAAGTCAGGAACATCTTCTGTCACCATATACTTGGCCCCTTTGCCCATATGGTGACAGAAGATGATTTGACTTTGGGTGGTAGGCTCACAATACAATATACAGATTATGTATCACAGAAATGTACACTTGAAACCTATACGATCTTATCAACTAACTAGTGGCCCGTGCACGGATTCGTGCACTGGTGGGGTCCCTCAGCCTGGCCTGCACTCTCTCGCAATACGGGACCCCTCGGGGGATGTCGAACTGCTGGTTTCGGCCAGATTCCCGCAGGCCACCTGCAGGGATTGGGCAAAAACCAGCAGTCTGACATCTGAGCAGCAGGCAGCCAGGGGTAGGCAGGGAGCCCGAGCCCCGGCCAGGTGCTGCGCTGTTCCCGCTCATCCAGGCCCCGCTGCACCTGCCGCCGCCACCGCTTGGTAGGCTCGCTGCCGCTCCGCTGCAATCTCCAAGCTGCAGCTGCGTTGAGCGTCTGCCCCCTGGTGGTCAGTGTGCATCATAGTGACCAGCTGTTCGGTTGTTTGGTCACTTAGGCTTTTATATATATAGATGTCATCCCAATAAACTTTAAAAAATTAAATCAATAAGAAAATATTTTTTAATAAAGCCAGGAACAAAATGTTCTTATGTTTCCAATAGTCTTTTTTTAGGTTCAAAAATCTAATATAGCCCCGGCCAGTGTCTCAGTGGTTAGTGTGTCAGCCTGAGCATTGAAGGGTCATGGGTTTGATTCCCAGTCAAGGGCACATACCTGGGTTGCAGGTTTGTGCTGGTCAGGGTGTGTGTGTGAGGCAACCAATTGATGTGTCTCTCTCATATCCATGCCTCTGTCTCTTTCTCTCTGACCCCCTCCTTCCCTTCCACTCTTTAAAAAAACAATTAAAAAAATCAATAGAAAAATATCCTCAGGTGGGGATTAACAACAACAACAAAAATCTAAAAGGTTTTTAAATCCCTTTTTATTTTTATTTATTTCTTCCTATGTTTTTGCAGGAGTATCAAGAAATTTCACCTTGGGGGCACTATTTCTCTGCTGACCACATGGAGAAGTTAATTTTTATAACGAGGGAAAGCACACAGAGTAGGATGAAACGAGAGTGTGGTATTTAAATTTGCAACAAGAAGCCCTTTAAAATACCCTGTGTGGTTTGGTGAGCATAGAATTGCGTAGCTGTCTGAGAAATCACCTCCAGGCTCCTTTAAAGACTGGAGGTTAAATACACTTTCTGCACCCACACTGCTGGGGGTATCCCTCTCACCTTGTATGTTATATAAATGTCTAGCCACTATGTTGCACACTTTAACTAATATAAGATTGAATGTCAACTGTAAATTTAATGAAAAAATTTTTCTAAAAGGAGTGTTTGGGATAAATAGAAATAAATGCTCTACGGCCCAACTCTCTTTTTCAATATTCTGTCAGCAAGAGAATTAACCATTTCAATATTACCTTATGACAGGCAAGATTACAATTAATTAGGTTATAGCGCATTTGAGAGCAATTACATTTTAGATGGGTGGCACCCTGATGATTTTGTTACTTTCCAGAAGAGTTCCACAGATGGCTAATCCTATCAAAGCTGTTTTGATTCATTATAAACTCAAGTTTATAACGATATTTTGACTTTTATCTTATTTTTTTAAAATTTAAATTCTTTATTGTTTAAAGTACTACATATGTCTCCTTTTCCCCCCATTGGCCTCTCCCCGGCCATTCCCACCCCCCAGCACATGCCCTCACTTCCCTACTAGCTATAGTAGGGAACCTATAAGCATGTCCATGGGTTATGCTTATATGCATGCATACAAGTCCTTTGGTTGATCTCTTACCCCACCCCCACCCCCGCCTTCATATTTTGACAATTGTCTTCTTATGGGGGTGGAGAGGTTATTGCTCACCGAGTCCTGTTGTCCCCTACACCTAAATTCTAAAACCTTCTCCATAAGGCTCAGGGTACATGCACTGTGATTTCTTCTTCACATGTGGAGCATTTAGAGAGAAAGCAGTGAGGAGATGTGACCAAGGGGATCATAAAGGGTGATAGTTCTTCCAGATGCATCTCTCTTCTTTTAGTATTTAGTTCTTTGTTGGTTTAATTCATTCTTCATAAGCATCATTAAGAAAAGATATTTTAACAAATCCAAACTTTATAGATCTTTTTCAGCTTTAATGAAACCACAAGATGATAATCATCGAAAGACCCCCTCCCCAAATTAACCATTTAAAGCTTTCTTCTGACCTGAACAGCAATTAAAAGTAGTTAGTATCAACAGAGCCTTCTATCTCTAAAATAACAGGTTCATTAGACTAGTTTTCTCAGTTTTTGCTACAATTCACTCACTCAAAAAATATATTGATTGAATGTCTACTCTCTGCTGGGCTCTGTTCTAGACCTCAGGGGTGAGAGCGTGGACAGGACCAGGAAGTCTCTGCACCAGGAAGTCTCTGCCCTCAAGGGGCCTACAGTCAGCAAAATTTAAGTTCTCCAAAAAAAAAAATGATTGCAGTATGGAGATAATTCACTTTTACCTGTCCAGCATTTTGGTACTGGCTCGTTCCAGCTTCTCTAGTATCTGGGGAAGTTGAGTATCATCATCGTATGAGCCACCCCAGCCGAGAACCCGGGCCAGGTCATTTCCGGTACCCAAAGGCAGCACTCCAAGCTGACACTAGAAGAGAGCACAACAGGGAGACCTCAGACAAGGGGAAAGATAGGGTCTATGACAGTTCTACACTTCTGTCAGCCGGTTAGTACACATTCATGTTAGCTAGCAATGAAAAGAATTAGTACTTGCCTGTTTATTCAAGTTGAGCTTATCAATTTCTGACAAAACCCAACCTACACTTCCATCTCCTCCACAAACAAGAATCCGGAAATTGTCAAACTTCTGGAATAATCTTAAACTGAAAGTAAAAAGTGTTTTATTTTAATATAAATAAAAAAAATTCACTTTCCCTAATTCTGTGTTATTCTATATTTATTGGTGTTCATGTTCAGATTAAATATAAGAACTCTTATATAATAATTACACTATAGAGTTAATTTAAGTACAATTTTAACTCAATAAAACCTCTTAATCATAAAGAGGAAAGAGGATTATAAGTAGAAATGGAAGTAAAATTAGAAGGAAAGGGAAAGAAGAAATAAGAAAACAAAAAAGAAGCAGAACCCAGGAAAGAGAATGAAAGATAAGTGATACAAGATGGTAAAAGTAGTGATTTTTTCTTCCCATGACAAGGCTAAGTTACTTCCTGACGCATAGCAGGTTCCAAACCAGGGGTGGGCATCTAGGGCACTGTTGCTATTGAGTGGCAGTTCCTAAAGAAATCCCAAACCTTGACAATGTGTCAGTTTTTGTAGTCCTGTCAGTTGTTCTCCTCCTCTTCTCCTAGTCTCAGGTCAATCTTTTTACTCCTATCTCCCTGCCTCTCGACTTTTGACATGCCCCACCTCCTGAGTGTACCTTTGCATACCTCAAGTATGGTGGGAAATCTAAAAAATATGTTACAGAGATAACCTCAAGAAGTTTAACAAAGAAAGTTCCTTGGGTGGGAATAACGAATGTCAAGAATATAAGATGTAAGAACTATAAAGGATTATAAAACAAATGTACTAGCACTTGGAGTGGGGGAAACGAGTTAAGTCGGCTCGCGTGAATTGCGCGTACTCCGCGGGAGCCGTCTTTAACTCGGTTCATATAGATTTGCGGTGGAGTGCGGGAAACGTGTAAACTTGGGCCGATTGTAACTGCGTATTACCAAATATTTGTTTGTAATCCACCCTTTTGGTGGATGGAACAAAACCAAAAGACAGAGCCATCTTATATTTTGGCGGGAAATTCACCCGCACTCCAAGTGCTAGAAAGGAGACAGAGCTAACCAGCAATGGGAGAGACAAAGGTGAGAAGAGAGGCCAGATGAGGAAATGCCAGGACCCAAACAAAGGGAAGTGAGGGATGTCCACGTAGATAAAGAAGGAGTTGGGTACACATGAGAAAGACCAACACCAGTGACCAGAGGGCCTGAACTTTGCAAGAGAAAAGCAATGGAAATAAAAAGGAACAAAAGTGAAAAGAGGGACAAGAAAAGAGTAAGGAGAGAAATATGGAAGACAGAAAAATCTGAAAATCCCCATTTCTACTTTTATGTTCATGCGTCAAGGTGACGGTGGAACCCTAGAGAAAAGCAGAGTTGGCATAAATAAATCATAGAGAATGCTGGGCTCTGGTTCAAATGACACAATATCAGCTCTCCAACAAAAATCATACATATACTAAAAATGTACTGACAGTGCCTCAAGGCACATTTTGCTTCACTGAAAATATTTAATATTTTTTCAGATTTTATGTTAAATGACATTCCAGATAGCAGAAACAATGAAGAAAAGCATTTCTTTGCCATTTGTATGGAGTGAGTCTGAAATCCTGGAGGAACTACCTAGAGACCCATGATAGTAACCATGCTTTAGTTAAACAATTGATTGTAATGCATACAAATCTGATTGTAATACATACAAATCAATACAAGTCTTCCATGCAAATCATTTTCTAAAGTTAGTTTGTATTTCTATATTTTCACATTTATCTTTCTTAGAGCTCAGCACACTCTGAGTGTTTGATTGATGTAAGATATGATCTAAAACACTTTCTAAACACATTTTGGAATTTGTATCACACAAGGAAGTTATATCAATATCAAAGAGGTTGTGTTAAATTTATAATTAGAATTTTTAAAAAGGGAGGAGTGAGAAGATCAACACAGAGATGTCTAGATGAGTCTACAATTTTCATGAACTGAAAAGCCAGACACATTTCATGCTTAGTGCTAGGTTTCATTTAAAAGAGACTTATCAATAATCAATTACCCCAAATAAGGACCTCCATTCATTAAATCAAACACCTGAGCTGGATTTAGTAACTGTTTAAACCGTCGAAGGAACTTGACTCCCTGATTATCTCCACTCTTGGAGTTGACGAAAACCAGTAAAGGACTAACACAGAATGAAAACGTTGCTCTACAGAAACCTGTAAAAAAACACAGGACAAGATCAACATGCATAGCTTCCTCTCTTAAACTAACAAAAATCCAGAGAAAAGAAGAGAAAGTCATAAAAATAAAGAACCAGGTTCATTACTTTAACAATAAGTTATAAATTAGCCCCCCGAATGGAGATTGGTTTATTATTTACATATTAAAAATATATAGAGAGGAGTTATCTTTTAAAATATGCTCTATAATGAAAAATCATAACAAATGGTAAAAGTATTAATCAGAGATAATTTGAGATATAGGACCTGCTTTAACAACAATTATAAGGAAAACCAATCAGTCTATGTACTTGTATTTAGTATTATAATGTACTAGAGGCCCAGTGCATGAAATTCATGCACTCGGGGGGTGGGGGTCCCTCAGCCTAGCCTGCACCCTCTTGCAGTCCGGAGCCCTCAGGAGATGTCCAACTGCGGGGAGGCAGGAGAGGCTCCTGCCACCACCGCTGTACTCACCAGTCGTGAGCTTGGCTTCTGGCTGAGCGGTGCTCCCCCTATGGAAGCGCACTGACCACCAGGGGGCAGCTCCTGCACTGAGCATCTTCCCCCTGGTGGTCAGTGCACGTCATAGCAACTGGTCGACCGGTCAACTGTCTGCCTCCTGGTGGTCAGTGCTCATCATAGCGAACAGTTGAGTGGCCTTAGAATATCATTAGCATATTACGCTCTGATTGGTTGAACAACCAGAAGACCAGACACTTAGCATATTAGGCTTTTAATATATAGGACTAGTAGCCCTGCGCACAAATCCGTGTGCCAGTAGCTGGCTGCCGCTCTTCTGTAGCTCTCTGCCCGCTGCCCCGTCCTCCTGTTACTCCCTCCACCCCCCTCATAGCTTGCTGCCCTGCCCCCTCCTGTAGCTCTCCACCGTCCACTTGTAGCTCACTGCCCCTCCTTCCTGCTGATCCGTGATCCAGTCGTTACGTGGTTGGTCGCTATGTAACGACCATTTGCATATTACATCTTTATTATATAGGATTTTAACTGCTCATTGATGAAGCCTGAACAAATACTTTAAAGTTTATAATAAACAACAAAACATTGATATATCAGGGCTTATAGAGGGAGGGCTTTAATACCATAGGTTTTAAAAAAGTCATATCTTTTGAGGTTTGTATCCGTGTATCTATAAGACCTATTGGCATAATTTATATAAAAAGTTTGAAAAATCATAATGCACTTTATCAATGCAAAACATTAATCATCCTATCTAATAATAGAGAAACATGGTAATTAACCATAACTTCGCTACCCTTCCCATTGGCTAATCAGCGAGATATGCAAATTAACTGCCAACCAAGATGGCGGCCGGCAGCCACACAGCTGAAGCGAACATGAGGCTTGCTTGCTCCAGTGACGGAGGAAGCCAAGGTTCCCCGCCTGCCGCAGCCCAGCTCTGAGCTCCAGATGCAACAATGTTGCAATTATAGAAGCTAAACAAACCCAGAAACCTGCTTTCAGCCGCCAGCGGGCTCAGAGCTGGAGCCAAGCCTCAGAGCTAAAGCCGGCTCTCAGCTCCAGTGACAGCCATAGAAGGTAAATAAATCCCAGAATAAATAAAAAAAAGGAAAAAAGGAGAGGCTGGGAGCTTCAGTCACCCGCCAGCCTGAAAACGGCCCTCAGCCCCTCACCCAGACTGGCCAGGCACCCCAGTGGGGACCCTCACCCTGAAGGGGGTGTGACCAGCTGCAAACAGCCATCATCCCATCATCCAGGCTGGTCAGGCACCCCAGTGGGGACCCCCACCCTTAAGGGGGTGTGACTAGTTGGAAACAGCCATCAATCCCTTATTCAGGCTGGCCAGGCACCCAAGTGGGACCCCCACCCTAATCTGGGACACCCTTCAGGGCAAACCAGCTGGCCCCCACCCGTGCACCAGGCCTCTATCCTATATAGCAGGGGTCCTCAAACTACAGCCCGGGGGCCACATGCAAATACAAATATTGTATTTGTTCCCGTTTTGTTTTTTTACTTCAAAATAAGATATGTGCAGTGTGCATAGGAATTTGTTCATAGTTTTTTTTTAAACTATAGTCCGGCCCTCCAACGGTCTGAGGGACAGTGAACTGGCCCCCTGTTTAAAAAGTTTGAGGACCCCTGCTATATAGTAAAAGGATAATATGCAAACTGACCCTAACAGCAGAAGGACTGGGAATGACTGGTCACTATGACACACACTGACCACCAGGGGGCGACATTCAATGCAGGAGCTGCCCTCTGGTGGTCAGGGCGCTCTCACATGGGAAGAGCTCTGCTCAGCCACAAGCCAGGCTGATGGCTGCCAGTACAGTGGTGGTGGTGGGAGCCTCTCCTGCCTCCTCAGCAGCGCTAAGGATGTCCGACTGCAGTTTAGGCCTGCTCCCCGCTGGCAAGTGGACATCCCCCGAGGGCTGCCGGGCTGCCAGAAGGATGTCTGATTGCCATCTTAGGCCCAATCCCCCGGGGAGCGGGCCTAAGCCAGCAGGTGGTCATCCCCTGAGGGGTCCTAGACTGCAAGAGGGCATAGGCCGGGCTGAGGGACCCCCCTCCCCTCCGAGTGCACAAATTTTTGTGCACCAGGCCTCTAGTATATGATAAAAGCCTTTTATAATATGGTTTGCTTGGAAAGTTATTAATTTGTTATTCCAAAACCAATGTTGTAAACACATTCCTCAGCACTTATAACTAAGTTGTAAGATTTTGGAAAAAGTGAATAAATTTATAGTAATATAAATTCCTGTATTGAAATGATAAGAAAACAGATTTCTAAATAAGAGATATGCTAATGGGCAGTTTCAATATAGAGGGAAAAAAAAACACATAAAAAATTAAAATTTTTGGATTACATTTCAGAACAGAATAATGATCTTATTTGCTGAAATGTAAAATCTAAAAGTCTTATACACAGAAAGTTCACCAATGTGTTAATAGCTATGTAAAATTTTAATTTTAAAATGTTCTTTTAAAAATTAAATGTACTGTTCAGCAATTTAAATAGAATTAGTATATAAAAACTGATAAGGATACCAGTTTTAATTCTATTTTTTCTAGGAAAATAAATGTACATATCAACTTTCAATATATCGGAAATATACATACTCACACCACTGCTACATACCATCAGAATCAGTGCTGTTTAGTGCAATTGGAGGAATGATAGACACTTTACATTGGCCAAGTGGACATACAGGATGGTATAAGTCTTTGCAGGCAGTGTGTACCTAATAACAAACAAATACATTTTTAAGAATCATAAAAACAAATCAATATTTAGTTATAAGTTATAGCTAAGAAACTGATACTTTGAGGATCAACTACATCACAAAATGTTCAGTAATTCATAAATTTAGTGGCACAATATTTATGCTTCTAAGGAATGGGCTAATCTTTTTAGAGATGGGAATTTGATTTTGTCTGTGAAGTATATTTTCAAGATTGTCTCAGGCAAGTAGTATATAGTCAATGAATGCTTGTGAAGGCAAGGAGAGGGCCAGAGGAGGAAAGCAATGCAGAGGAAGGAAGGCAAGAGAGAGGAAGGAGAGAAGTGACCAGTAACATCAATATCATTGTCCATTAAAAAACTGATGACATCTACCTTATAAAATTCTTACAGAAAGCCACCACATTTTGATTGACATACAAAACGTAATTGTGCGCTCTAGCTGGTTTGGCACAGTGGATAGAGCATTGACCTGCAAGGGTCCTAGGTTCAATTCTGGTCAAGGGCACATACCCGGTTTGTGGGCTCAATCCCCAGTAGGGGACGTGCAATGATGATTCTCTCTCATCATTGATGTTTCTCTTTCCCTCTCCCTTCCTCTCTGAAATGAATAAAAATATATTTATGAAACAAACATAATTTTGCTACAATCCTATGTATGTTCTCTGACAGAATGCTGAGTTCAGTAGGCCATGTGTTGAACTCAGCATTTAATTAAATATTTTAAAACTTTATTCCATGTCAAGAAAGAGGAAAGAAATGCCCAACATAACGTGGAATCAGTGGGAAGTGCATCTGTGCTGGACTGCGTGAGGACTGGGCCTCTGCACTGCAGTCAGGCAGGAACTCAGCGGGTGGCGAGGGGGCTAAAGGTAACAGGGCTCAGAGGTAGTAATAGCTGTGAGTGCTGATCTTAGCACTGGGTGGCGCTGTCCAACTATGACAGTGATTGCCTGGCCTTCAGGCTGCTTTGTTTGTTTTGAGTCTTGGAAGTCAGCTCTCCCGACACCCCCAAGAGGGTGGGAAAAAACATTGCTTTTCGTAAGTATGGTGTAGATCAGCAAATGTAAGAGAAGTGAGCGTGACATGTTGATTTCATAATGAGATTGATTCCATAGGCCACAGAGGAAAATAAGTCCTATAATATTTTAGTCAGGCCTAATAGGTAATCTGTGTTCCTTTTCCTTTCTTTTCATTTATTTACTAGAAGCCCCGTGTATGACATTCGTGCTTTGCGGGGTGGGGAGGGAAGGGGAGGGAAGGGCGTGTCCCTCAATCCGGCCTGCACCCTCTTGCAGTCCGGGACCCCTGGGGGATGTCCGCTCCCCAGGGGCCTAAGCCGGCAGACAGACATCCCCGAGGGGTCCTTAGCACTTGGAGTGCGGGTGAATTTCCCGCCAAAATATAAGATGGCTCTGTCTTTTGGTTTTGTTCCATCCACCAAAAGGGTGGATTACAAACAAATATTTGGTAATACGCAGTTACAATCGGCCCGAGTTTACACGTTTCCCGCACTCCACCGCAAATCTATATGAACCGAGTTAAAGACGGCTCCCGCGGAGTACGCGCAATTCACGCGAGCCGACTTAACTTGTTTCCCGCACTCCAAGTGTTAGCATTGCCCCGGAGGCAGGAGAGGCTGCCATAACTGCAGCTGCACTCGCCAGCCATGAGCCTGGCTTCTGGCTGAGCTTTGCTCCCTCCGTGGGAGTGCACTGACCACCAGGAGGCAGCTCCTGCATTGAGTGTCTGCCCCCTGGTGGCCAGTGTGTGTCATAATGACTGGTTGTTCTGCCATTTGGTCAATTTGCATATTAGCCTTTTATTCACCTGAGTGAGGATATTTTTTCCATTGATTTTAGAGAGTAAAAGGAAGGAGAAGGGGGTGGGAGAGAGAGAGAGAGAGAGGAGAGGAGAGAGAAACATCGATGTGGATGTGACAGAGACACATCGACTGGTTGCCTCCCAACAGCCCTGGTCACAGGGATGGGACCTGCAACCCTGGTACATGCCCTTGACCTGGAATCGAACCCAAGAACCTCGGATATGCAGGCCCTAACCACTGGGAAACGCCAGCCAGGACTCCTTATCATTTTTAATTTGAACATGATTCTCTTTGTCCTCCTGCTTTTGTTATTCTTCATCAGTTGCCTTTTTTTTTTTTTTCTCACCCAAGGATATGTTTGTTGATTTTAGAGAGAGGAGGAGAAAGAGGGGGGGACTTGGGGGGGAACGAGGGACATTGATATGAGAGAGAAACATTGATCAGTTGCCTCCTGCATGTGTCCTAAACGGGAATAGAACCCGCAACCTTTTGGTGTATGGGATGATACTCCAACCAACTAAACCACCAGCTGGGGCTCAGTTGCCTCTTTTGTCAGCCATAGGCATTACTTTTTATTTCTCTTATCCCATTTAATATAATATAGACTATTTAATATAAACTAGATCTCCTTGGAGGCTTAGTGCAACCCCACCCCTAAAACCCTCTTTTGCCATTCCTTATTTTAAAGGAGTGCTCCCTAACCAAGAGTTTAAATTTTCATTCCACCTAAGATGTCTTTTTGGGGGAACAACCAGTGACATATGTACCTACTGCTATTTTTATTACTCCACATTTACTAAAGTCTAATTCTCTACTTCAAGAACTTCAGCTATTTTCTTTCTAACTTTTTAAAAAGAAAGATCACATATGATGAAGTTACTTTCTAAAAGTATTATATAAATTGTTTTTACCTGCAATATACAGGTTTCTACTTGTATTTAGTCAGTAGTTTTTAAACTTTAGGTAGGAGTAAATTAGGTTTTTTATTTGCTCATTCTACTCGCCCCCACCTTTAATGTCTTTTACAGAAGAGGGCATTCTTAAATGTCTTTTCCCTCTTTTTTCCCTGACAAACATAAATGCCACCTTATTGTGAAATCATTCCTCCCCACTCTGTCAGTTAGATGTGCTGGTTGCTGGACTACTGTCGCCTTTGTTACACCTGACTTAGTCTATACTTCCTATAGACTCTCATTTTTCTGTTAATATATTATTTTGCCTTTAAAATATGATTTTTAACAGCAAAATATTAGTCATCTAGTTAAAAACCAAACCATAGTTCTACAACCCTAATGAGTCAACTCCTAATTTTCCACCTGTTGTCCAGTTTCTGGACACGATTTTACATATTCTGTAAAAATAGTGAAGTTGAAATTTTTATCTTCTACTCTTCTCATTTAACATTGTTATATTTTTCAGTTTTGCCCTATTTTTGCATATTTTTTATTCCTTTTAAAAACTATCTGTGCATGCTTGTTTTTCTAAAATTGATTTGGATTAATTATTATAAATCATATTAGAAAACTGTCCAAAATTAGGTCATCACCAGAACAAAAATTAAATTTCAGTTATTTTCCCAAAAGTTTATAAATACATGTTAAATTAATATACCAGTTTTCTAAAAGGACTAATGAAATAACAACATATTAAGTAAGTGCTTCATGAAATTTCTGCTTTTATGGTTAGAACTTTTTTTTTTTCAATCCTCACCTGAAGACATGTTTAGAGAGAGGGAGAGAGAGAAACATCGATCAGTTGCCTTCAGTACACTCCCGACTGGGGATCAAATCCACACCCAGGCATGTGCCCTGACCGGGAATTGAACCAGCAACATTTTGGTGGACAGGACGACGCTCAATCAACTGAGCGACTCTGGCCAGGCTGGTTAGAACATTTAAAGCAGTGGTTCCCAAACTTATTTGGCCTACTGCCCCCTTTCCAGAAAAAATATTACTCAGCCCCTGGAAATTAATTTTTTTAAAATTTTAATAGCAGTTACTCATCGCCCCCAAATGCACCTGTGGCCATCACCGCCCCCCTGGATTGCTGCAGCGCCCACCGGGGGGGCAGTAGCGCCCACTTTGGGAATCACTGATTTAAAGGCTCTCGAGGTGAGTTCATAAAGTATCCTAAGTTGCCTGGGTCCTGCTTAATAAGTATGTTAGCCCTGTGTTTTTTGTTCTCAACAGTTATTCTGAGTGACCTTGAAACTTTGTGTCTACGTTTACTGCGCGCCTCTGATGTACATCACTTTTCAAGATGAGTGTATAATAATAGGACCTTTTTCTTTTCCTTTTCCTTGCAAGGCCAGAGAAACTAGGCATGGATGTACTTGTAACTATAAGAACATGAAAATGTTATGAAAGAGGTGTGAATACAAAGCTATAGGATCATTGCAAAACAAGTGGACATAAGACAGATTTTACTTATTTTCATTAGATTGTATAAGAATTTTATAAGGTAGATGTCAGGCCTGAAAAATAGCAAACCACCTAGTGTGACTCAAGCATAATGAAAAACAATAAAACTGTGGTAAAGACGTCTTTAGACAAAGGAAACATATGATAAGTATTACTAAAAGGTTATGTAAAAAAGTAACCAGACTGGAAGGAATACACTTTGAAAAAGATGAATATTACAATGGGCATGTGTGCTATCCAGCTCTGCTACGCCATAAATTCTTTGCCTCTAAATCACATACACGTAAAAGTGATGAAAAGAAGCTAATAAAAAGGACTCTCACCATCATTTTACACCAAAGGCATTTCCAATCTTGTAGACGAAGAACGCTGCCACACGTTTTGTCACAGACAACACACTTGGCACTCACAGGCAAGTTACCCTCTAGCCACTGGTGAGGCATAGCCACCTGTGCAGCAGGAGTAAAGCACAGTCAAATTAAAGACTGTGGAGGACACCATTCTTACCCTAGGAAGATATACAATTGAATCTTACTCTAAGAAATCAATAATATGTATCACTCATAGCATACGTTCATTTACCCCAGATTTATTGAGCATGTACTATGTCCTAAGCACTTTAGAGGTACAAGGATAAATAAGACTAAATCCCTGGCCTTCAAGATTTGTAGTCTAGTTGAGGAGAAAGGCATGTAAAAGGCATTATCACAGGGGTCACAAAGTGCTACCAGATATTTGTATGCAAGGTGCAATGGAGGCAAGATTTTGAGGGAGGGGCACCGTTGAGAGGAGGCCCCGAAGTCTGAGGAGTAAAGATCTGAGTAAACAGCTGAGCTAAGCCTTAAAAAATATCTTAGTTTGTCAGATAAGGCTCCACAGCACCAGCCCAGCACCATTCTTAAGTCCTATTCACATTTCCCTTAAAATTTAAGAGCTGAAGGAACCTGGTAAGGACCTAATTGAAAATAAAAACTCATAATTAACCAAGTTCTTCCATTTTTAAGAGTAATAGTAAACCTTCCCACCTAGCTCTGTCAGTATTTTCCCAGGGACAGAAAGTAAAAGAGAAGAGGTGCTGGGAAGGGGTCAGAGACAGAAGAGGCCTTACCCCATCCTCGTCCTCTATGATGTCCTTCCCGATGGAGGCCAGAGTCGTCCACTTACAGTTATTAGTGGCCCTCACTGCACACCTTTTGTGGGCCTTGAATTTACACACTAAAAACACACAGGAAACCATTTCCAAATGAGTGTGTACTTTTAGACCAACAATTAAAGAAAATCACAGCATAAAATTTTAAAGGGGTGGGGGATAGAAGGAAAAGTATATTTTAAAAAGTTTAAATTACTTTTTAACAAATAGCAATGGTACTTTATAAAGCAAATATGGTTATGTATGTATGAAGCACTCTGATCAAGCTATGAATTGCTACTTACATTCCATTTAATCATAGAAGAAAAACAGAAAGGAAATAAATGCAAAATAATTAGTTCTTGAGGAGAAAGGAAACAAATTCAGAATTACATGGGTGCTAGTAACATCCTATTTCTTATTCTGAGGGCTAATTACATAAATGTGTTCAGTTCATGAGAAACGGAACGAGCTGAACACTTCTGATACTTAAAATAAAAAGTGTGAAAATCCCATTGAGGTAAGAACAAGATAATTCAAAGGAGTTTTAAATTGCAAGTATGTCAAGAAACTATCTAGGCATCATGGGAAACAGGTTGATAGGGGTCACAAGGATGGCACTGTCCTTTGAAAGTATTGTGTTGGAATGACTACACTATCATGTAGAGAAAGAAATGATGATGTGATATTCCCACTACATGCATCACTAATTCCTCCCAGTCAAATTACCACAAAGGAGCCTATAAAACAACAACAACAAAGAGACACTGAATACTATCCAACACCAATGAAAGAAACAAATAAATTAAAAGACAGTCTGTGTTCATGGACTGGGAGAATTAATATTGTTAAAATGTTCATATTACCCAAAGCAATCTATAGATTCAATGCCCATCAAAATTCCAATGGCATTTTTCATAGAACTAGAACAAATAATTCTAACATTTATATGGAACCACAAAGACCCCAAATAGCCAAAGCAATCTTGAGAAAGAAGAAAGCTGGAGGCATTGTGCTCCCTGATTTCAAACTACAAGGTGAGGCAAAGGTTTACAGTTGCTCGATTAGAACATAATGTAATAATTAATAAATAATAATACAAGAATAAACTCTGTGCTTCACGTGCTCACATCTGTAGCAGTACTTTTGCCCCACCTTATATATTACAGAGTTGAAGTAATTAAAACAGTATTGTATTGGTGTAAAAATAGACACATAGATCAATGGAACAGAATAGAGAGCCCAGAAATAAACCCATGCCTATGTGATCAATTAATTTACAACAAAGGAGCCAAGAATAGAGTCTCTTGGATAAATTGTGTTGGGAAAATTAAACAGCCACATGCAAAAAATAATAAAACTGGACCACTATTTATATCATGTACAAAAATTATCTCAAACTAGATTAGACTTAAATGTAAGACCTGAAACCATAAAACTACCAGAAGAAAGGATAGATTGTAAGCTCCAAGAGAGACTACATCAAACTATAAAGCTTCTGCACAGAAAAGGAAGCCAGCAACAAAATGAAAATGGCAATCTAGTGAATGGGAGACAGTAAATGCAATATATCTGGTAAAAGGTTAATATCCCAAATATATTAACAACTCATATAACACAATAGCGAAAAAACCAATCCGATTTTAAAAACGAGTAGAGGATCTCTCAAGTGACATCTTTCCAAGTATGACATACAAATGGCCAAAGGTACATGAAGAATTTCTCAACAGCACTAATCATTAGGAATCCTATCTAATTAAGAGGGAATACGCAAATTGACCATCACGCCGTCACAAACATGGCAGCACCCATAGCCACAAGATGGCGGCGCCCAGTCCCCTCAGCCGAGGTGCAGGCAAGCCTCGGATGGTGGCTGCCCAGCCACCCAGGGCTGCCCGAGGCTCAGGTAACCAGGGCCGGCCGAGGCTTGCGCTGCTGGAAGTGGCAACAGCAGAGGTGTGATGGGGCGTCGCCTCCCGCCCCCGAGGGCTCCCAGACTGTGAGAGGGGGAGGCTGGGCTAAGGGACCCCCCCTCCAGTGCATGAATTTTCATACACCAGGCCTCTAGTATGTAAAATAAAAACTACAATGAAATATCACCTCACACCTGCTAGAATGGCTATTAGCAAGAGATAAAAAAATTACAAGTGTTAGCAATGATGTGAAGAAAGGGATCCCTTGTGCACTGTTGGCAGGAATGCAAATTGGTATAGCCACTAAGAAAAGCAGTATGGAGGTTCCTCAAATTTTTAAAAACAGAACTACCATATGATACATCAATCCCACTTCTTGTCATTTATCTGAAGAAAATGAAAACACTAACTCAAAAAGATGGCTGCACTTCCATGTTCTCTGCAGCATTATTTACAATAGCCAAGATAGGAAACAACCTAAGTGTCCATCAATGGGCGAACGGATAAAAAAATGTAATATATATATGTTATTCAGTCATAAAAAAGAATGAAATTTTGCCATATGAGACAATATGCTAAGTGAAATAAGTCAGAGAAAGACAAATACCATAGCATCTCACTTATATGTGCAATACAAAAAACAACAACGAAGCTCAGAGATACAGAGAACAGACTGGTGGTTGCTAGAGGTCAGGGATGGGGAGGTGGCCAATATGGGTGAAGGGGGTCAAAAGGTACAAATTTCCAGTTATAAAATAAATAAGTCCTGGGGATATAATGCACAGCATGGTGACTATAGTTAATAATACTGTACTGTATATTTGAAAGTTGCTAAGAGAATAAATCTTAAAAGTCCTCATCACAAGCAAAACAATTTACTAGTATGTTACTATGTTGGTGATAGCAACTAGACTTATTCTGGTAATCATTTCGCAATATATACAAATACTGAATAAAAAGAGAGAGAGAGAAAAATAAGAGGAAACAACCAGAAAGAAGCAACATAAATATGAAAAACAAGTAAACCACAGATTATTTGAATAATTAACCCTGCTTATGAAAATCAGAACTTGACTACTACTAAACTTACCCTTCAAGCGACACAAACTATCCAATTGTTAATGGATACTGATGTTATACGAGTCTGAGTTTTCAGGTAAATATTTAAAAGCAGAGCTCACTTTGGTGGAAATATAAGGCAACTGTTGCTAAATTCTAAATGTAAGGTGGCTCCTTTTCACATGATTTTTAATATGTAACAGTAAACCATTCATAGACAAGAAATGATGGGTTCCACATTATTTTTTAAAGCAAACTTAGTGTAATATGAAAACAAAAGGGTCAGGTAAAATAACTAAGATTTATATAATCAAATGTTCAAATACTTCAGGTATCATGAATAACCAAAATATGTATGGTCACTTAAACTAAGCTGGTTTTTCCTAGTCTACAGATACTAGACACGGTTCATTTACTAGTACACGCTCTTTGGTGTACACTGACAAATTCTTCCCTGGAAATCATACTGTTTTTGTGATAAATGACTTTGTGACTACGGCACAGACTTCATGTAGAATACAACCATTATTCAATTGAATTTTGTTGCTGACAAACATTAGTGTAAAAAAGACTATAGAAAGTAAGCTTAGTTTGAAAAACAATTTCAGCATTTTGCTCCAGTACAAGTGACTATTTTAAAACTATAGTTAGTGTCTCGAGGCCTTTTCATCTGTTATGGTGTTCCTCAAAAATGTGGTCCTAGTTTTAGTTTTATCTGTAGCATAATCCCAGGCTGCTCTTTAAGTACAAGTACTTGACATTAATGGTCAATAACTGTATTCTAAGAGGCAAAGAAGGAAGTAAAAGAGGGCAACAGGGTATAATTTCATGGCTTTTTTCTTGTTTTTGGTGTTGTTGTTGTTAATGATCACCCAAGAATTTTTCCACTGATTTTTAGAGAGAGTGGAAATAAGGGGAAAGCGAGAGAGAAACATTGATGTGAGAGAGACACATCCTCCCTGATCGGGGTAAGGATGGAACCCGCAATCCTGGTATATGCCCTTGACTGGGAATCAAACCCAAGATGCCGACGCTCTAACCACTGAGTAAAATCAGCCAGGGCATCATGGCTTTTGAAAATTTTTCTATTAAAATTCAAACAGAACATTAAAAGTAAAAATCACAAATTTGTAATAATAAAGTGTATCATGAAATGATTCTTAAAAATTGCAAAGTTGCTTAATATAAAATAATAATAATAATACAAACCAGACTGTAATTATGGTGACTAAGAAATGATAATGATTAATAGGCACCTTAATTTTGTTAATTAACAATTAAATTTCTCCAAACAAGTTATTCTGAAATAAAGCACTTTTCCCTGACCTGTAAAGCCATTATTTTAAAACTCTAAGACTTATAAAATATACTAACATGTAACAAAATTATGATTTTTTTATTGAAATATTTATTCAGTTTTTACTACACTTTATGTGTTCAACAGTGGTTAAAATAAAATTTCCTAAGATGATCTATTTGATAGTGTCGATTAAAAAATCACCATTTAACTTATTTTGTTAAATTGATGCTTAAAAACTATAAAGAATAATTATGCTCTTAAATTATAATTAACATTATCAATTGATTTGGGGATTACTTACAAAAAGTCTTGTCTTCTATTTTTCATATATTTTATATATGCAAGGCTTTAAAGTAATACTTTTAATTATTTTTCAATATAAACCTAGAAGACAAATCAGGACAGCCTTGTCTTATTGTGAAAAACAACAGCCGAGATTAGGGGAATGTTGGACTTCATTCTAACACAAAGTTATTCATTGTCACTAGTGAACAAATATTTTTTGTATTTGCATCTTTGTTATAACTTTTAAAGCCTCTTGCATCCTGTGGCTTTAGTTTTACTAAGCAGGTAGTTTATTCAGATTTGGGAAGGTGGGGGGGTCTAAAGTTTAAGTATAACTTTGATTACAATAAAAATATCTTAAATAGTCACATTCTCATAAAATAAAAAGGAAACTTTTTTGTATGTTCATAAAACCCTTGGGATTTGTAAAACCTCGGCTACAGTTCTAAAAATACTAATGGGCAAAATACTGTCGATTTAAAATTTTTATCAGCAGAGAAAATAAATACTACCATATGTGCCTCTAAAAATAGAATTTAAAAATACAATCATTGAGGATTTTTTAAAAGTCAGGAAGACTTCATTATTAACAGAAAAATATAAAAACACATTTATTTAAACACTTCAAAGTTTTTTTATTCTCACCAGCTGATGTAATTTTCATTTTTTTGTAAAAATGCTTACAAAAATATTCAGTCATCCCACTATCAATCTCAGTTTCTAAATAAACATATTTAATAATGTCTAACTCTTAAAGCAGAAGGGTACCACAGAGTACCTCAGATCTGATATCACTTTTAGCATTTTTCAGATGAGAGACTAGAAGGTAATAGTAAAAGGGCCTTCAAAATAATGTCATGGAATATCACAGACCGGGCAGGAGTCACCCGGAGCTGCAGAAATCCTTTTAGGTTATAAAGCCATAAAGGCCAGTTACATATTTGTTTGCAATCATTCCTTAAATCTAAAAGTGTTTAATGCCTCCTCCAAATATTCATTTTTATAAACTTTAATGTATCAGGCCATGACACAATCTATAATATTTTACCTGAAAAATTTCTTTTGGAGCACAGTTAAAATTTCTATAATATACTTAACTGGAGAAGTTTTATTACACGTATTCTCTCATTTAGCTTCCATAATGTGTTATGAGATGTAAATGACTACTATTCCCCATTTACAGATGAGGAAATAAAAGTCTGAAAAAGTTAAATTTTCCCCCTGCTCACAATGAAATTCTGGAAGTGAAACAGGAACCCAAGGGTCTAAGTGCAGCGCTCTGTTCTCAACTGCTAGATAGCATATTAAATAGCTGAACTGATGACATACCACAAGCTTCTTTAAAATGAATTAAAACTGGACTCTATTTGTATTTAACTATTTAATTATAATAAAGTATTTTCAAAATTACTTAAGATTTTTTGTATTAGAGAAAAAAGCTAGTAATAGAATTATAGATAATTCAAAAAGTAGTACACAATGATTTGATCACTGAGGCATGAAATTAAATAAATCTAAAGAAGGTATGAATTTTCTCTTGGTAATCATTAATGCACTTCCTTTAAGTGGTCACTGTTCTTAAATTTCAAAATAATCCACAAATCCATTTATAAAACAACAGCATAGGCCTTATTTTTAGAAAACTTTAAGGAAATTAAAGGGATGGCATCAATTTAAATGAAACATAAATGAAATAAAACAGCGTTTAAAACAATCTCTATATATAAAAGCCTAAGCAACGGTCTGACCAGTAACTATGATGCACACTGACCACCAGGAGCAAATGCTCAACATATAGGCATGGAAACATGAAACAGACTGATGAATCTCAGAAGAAAGGGGGGAGGGAGGAGGGCAGGAAGAGATTAACCATAGGTCTTATATGCATACTAGAGCCCGTGGGGTCCCTCAGCCTGGCCTGTGGGGATCCAGGCGAAACCAGCTCTTCAACACCCCCCAAGGGGTCCTGGATTGCAAGAGGGTGCAGGCCAGGCCAAGGGACCCCACCAGTGCACGAATCCGTGCACCAGGCCTCTAGTGCAGCGGTCACCAGCCTTTCGGATCTCACAGACCACCAGTGGTCCGTGGACCACCAGTTGGCGACCACTGCTCCAAAGGTTTCCTTAAACCAGCAGTCGACAACTTTTTGGACCTCATGGACCACCAGTTGGCGACCGCTGCTCTATTGCAATATAAGTAACAATTGGAAATTCTGCCAGAGTATATAGTATCCTCACAGAAAGTTTTGTTCTTCATAATCAATCAGAACAGAAAAAGAATACTAGAAAACTGGGATGACACACTAAGTCTAAAGAATGTTTTTTTAATCAGTAGTTACTAGTTCCTCAGGAGACAAATGCTACATTTTGATTTATACTTTCTTTCAAATGATTTTATATTATCTTTTCCTGAGCCAAACGTTTCCCAAGATAGTCCACTGTAAGTCACCAGAAAACATCAACACTCTGTTCCCGCTGAGGTGCTCCCAACTACTACTTCCACCCAAGGGAAATGGTGGATTTTCTCTGTTCACTTCTCAAAAGTACCAATGGCGGTATGGTCAGGTCTGAGGACAACACACGTTGGATGCTACAGTACCTTCGCAGGACAGGCCATGGGAGGTGACTCCGGAAAGGCTCTCTCGGCACACGTTACAGAAAGTGGGTCGGGCATGGGAGCAGGCGTACCAGTTATGCATCCCTGAGAAATGTTCCACATTAAACTGGGCCACCTAGAAATAAGACAGCACAGATTTGCCAAACAAGTGAACAAAACTACAGATACTTAATATTCAGAACGTATATAGTTATGATTAAAATTTCAAACCCATATTTTAAAAACAAGACCTTTTTGCTTTAAGTAAAAAGAATGCAATATCAGGCTTAAACAAGTTGCTGAATGACTCTATACGTACCTATTTTTGCAGAATACAGCGTTAGCTCTTCAGTTAACATTCTCTAAGAACACGAGATGACAGAGGAGCTGCTACTTTACCTCATAAGGCTCTCTGGTCTGTACAGACTTCAGTGAGCTGATCCAGTCCTCCATCTCCTTTCTGTTCTCAGCGCATAGCATTAGTCTTCTGAATGGAGTGATTATCTGAAAGGTATAATTCAATATAAATGATTGTTAATGACCAACAAGAGAGATTATTGTAAAATCTTATTTCCTTGCTAAAGAAAGTAAGAATTGCTGTAAATGAGTTTAGTTCTCTGAGTACGACACAATGTGATCTAGGTAAGAACAATTCTAAGGAACCTTTTATGATTTTGATCTCATTGCTATGTATTTATCAGGCTTTTGAGACCCTTACCAAAGGCTTTGAACCCAAATAAACAATGAATTCTTATTTCATAAAATATATCTTGAAAATTAATTTTAAATATACTTCAAAATAATTCATGGTAAGCTTAGATTGAATGCATAGCTATCAGTGCGGAATTTTCAAAAAATGAAAATGAAAAGAATGCACCATTAAATGGTTTTGTAATTGGCTTAGAATAGTACCAAGAACACTATTATTAAATAATGTTGGGTTTACATATTTCCATTGCCTATTTTAATATAATTTATATGAAGGATTTTCCCCCCTCATTGTGGAGAATTCAACTGTATTACTTTTTAGTAAGAGCAGTGGAGAAGAATTAGCATAAAAGTCACTTAGTTGGTTTTAAGGAGAAAAATAATTGTGACTTTCATCTTTTTTTATGTCACTAAAGAGGGCAAATTAATTATATTAAGAATCATAAAGCAAGTGAAATTAAAACTTCATGCTGTTATAGCACCAAAAGTGATTCAAAGATTCCAAAATGACTTGAAAAAGCCCCTATTTGTGTGTCAGTACAATATTCTGGTTGTAATCTCGAAGTTGCTAAATCCTAAGCATTTATTGCAAATAAGGGACCATTTATTCACTTTTGGAAAAGGAGCAAAATATCATATTCTTAACATTGAAACTATTTTCAAATGATAAATGATATACTTATTTACATAGCAAATACATTTTTCTCAAGTTAGAAGCCATTTGATCCAGTGATAATCTACATATTGCATTATACAGCAGATTTCCCATGTCATGAAAAAGCAATAATCATCTTTAAAAAAAAAAAAAGGAACCCTTCCCAAAAGTAGTAACTATCAAGCCTCAATCACTACTGCTCATCTTAGAGAATAAGTCCAGTATTTAAAACTAGAGAGATCAGCCCAATCTCAGCTACTCACCAGTCACTGCCTCCTCTCATCTGTCATTAGGTTAGGCTACACAATCCTTCCTTAGACCACGACGCCTTGAATACGTCTGACAGGCACTCACACTCACACAGCAGGCCAGAGTGGCATGGAAGAGGAGCTCTGGGTATTGGGTAACTGCATATGAAATGGAACAGAACCTCCCCTTCGCACTTTCTTCTGTTTTCCACTACCCGCTTTGGATAAAGCTTATTAGCAGTTGGTCACTTTTCTTCTTGAATAGTTAATGCGAAGAGCAATGGCTCCCTCATTACTTAGGAGCCAAATGGATGCTTTATTGCTTCAAATGTTTTTCTGGGCCAGCTCATCAAAAGCAGCAGAGCGATGCCATTAAATCACAATACACTCCTGGCTCTGCGCCTGGCACAGCACTCTCGAAATCTCAAAGTTTCACTGGACTGAATACATCTGATAGTTACCTGAAGAAATACCACCTCTAGCATTTTATTTCTTTATTATTTAGCTATAATACATAATGTAACTCTAAAGATTCCCTGTCTTTCATTATGGTGTTGTAGTGAGATAAGCATTATTCAGATAAATAAACCAGGTTTGCTATTTTATTCTTCATTTTTGTTTTTTGTTTAATTCTAAGTAAAGCAGGATGTCTGCAGTTTTAACTATCTTTAATGCCTTTATATTCTTTAAAAGTCATCGTGAACTCAATAAAAACAGAGAAAGAAGAATAGAGAAATAGCTGCTCATTTTTCTTGACACTTTTGGGACTACATAATGTTTCAATGCTAAAGGATTTCAGCAACATAAATCATGCATATATCTTATACACTGATGATGTAAAACATCAGCAATTTTTCCTTTTTGATAAAAATTTGTTTAAAATGGACAGTCACATTTAAAAACTAATGAAGTTTTTTTAAAAAATATATTTTATTAATTTTTTACAGAGAGGAAGGGAGAGGGATAGAGAGAAACATCAATTCAGCTGCCTTCTGCACACTCCCTACTGGGGATGTGCCCGCAACCAAGGTACATGCCCTTGACTGGAATCAAACCTAGAACCTTTCAGTCCGCAGGCCGACGCTCTATCCACTGAGCCAAACCGGTTTCGGCAACTAATGAAGTTTTTAAGAGCCAAAAGAAATTATAATTCTGACGTAAGAAATCTAATGATTATAAAGTCACACTAAAAGAAGTGGATATGAAACAAAATCGTTCATAAATCATGCGATGCAGAGGTGCCTGGCTTTTGTGGCTGCACCACCAAAAGTACCTCAGCGAGCATATCTGAAGACAAGGCTGCCTACCAAACCTGTAACATCTCCCAGATGGGCCCTCTCCCCTTGATGGTAACCCCTCATTAGTCTGCAATGCTGAGTCCCCTCCCCATCTTTTTCTTAAATTCTTCCCCGTCCCCAACCTCAGTAGGAAAGGGAATGATGGTTGTTAACTGACAAGCTCTGGTTGTATCCTAACTGAACCCCATTATACTACAGTGGTTTCTCCTCCAAATCTTTATCAGGAAACTATCTGGGGAGCAGCAAACCCAGAAAATTTTTTCGTTCTTACTCTGAAAGTATATCTGACTCAGCTTTTTTTAATTCTGATAAACGAGCAGGAGGATGAGATAGAAAGATAGAGATGTGGGAGGGGTCAGGGAACTCAGACTGAGCCTGTTGGGGGCCAAGGCCGGGATATTTCTGGAACTAGAGGGCTTTTTACATTTCTTGAAGAATCTGCATCTTACCTATCTCCTAAAGTGGCCCTTAGTTCCTGTCCTCATCTCAACCCCACTCTAATTCTCTCTTTCTACTGTTCCATCATTCCCAAATGTGGAGAGCGGCTACAGTGTTTGGACAAGTTCAAGCCTCGGACTAATGAGAGGGCACAGTCCTCTCATTTCCCCGTGCAAATCCCAGCTTTGGGAGCAGAGCCCTCCCAGCACAATTATAGCCAACAGCTGTAGTTGTAAGCTTGAACCTATGGTCCGAACACCTGGCCCCACGTGCCTGAGTGATGTGGGCTTGATAGAGTTCAGGTGCATGTAATTGAGTAGGATTGAAACCCATGAGAATGCTGTAAACATCTTGACCACGCCCTTACTTTGCCTCGTGGAATCTGGCTATAAAATAAAGACACAGCTTGTAGTCCATGGCGCTGTCTCTCCATCTGGGAGCAGCATCCCACCCAGACCCAGCTCATTCTCTTGTCTGTCTTTTCTCCATCCTTCACCACCCCCTCTCAGGGTCACTGAACCAGGCTGAGCTGGCGTGGCACATAAGGCGCCCTGGGGCTGAGTATGCCATGGCCGTGCCGGCTCACCACACCCAAATAATTTTTTACTGATTTTCTTCAGTAATTAGTTTTTTTTCAGGCTATAACCACCACTCCCAGCTCAGATCCCAGAGCACATCTGTCTGCTTGCTCATGCACCCCAGCATTCACTGAGTGTGTACTGCATGCCAGAGCCCAGGGGGTTCAAACCACATGGGCTATGCCTTAATAATGTAGAAGGAAGGCAAGGAAGCAAACCAAGGTTTACTAGTACTTGTCTGAAAAAGTGCTATATAAGTTGGAGTACAAAGAGATACATCTATCGGTTGTCTTCTCAGTGCTACCTCAGATAACAAACAAATTCTCCATTAATAGAGATACTACTTTACTTTGAGTTACTGGCCAATAAGGGCTAATCAACAATACTACTAAATGTGCATAAGAATAAAAATTTTCTCAGTCTGATAAAGCATGTGACTAGGTCAGAGAGATAAAAGGCAATATGGCATGAAATATATAAAATTCTACAGAAGAGTAACATTACAGGTAAGGCTTTAAATACACAAACATGCTCAGAAGAAGAAAATCCATAGCCAAGTCCTATGCTGGTTATTATTCAGTGAAGGAATTACAAATAATTTTAATTGTAATTTTTACTGGTTGTCTGTAGTTTCTAAAGTAAATATGTAGTACTTCTCTAATAAAAACATTATTATTTTTTTTACTAACAGAAGAATAGAAATTTAGAATTTAAAATGTTGCATTGTTCCAAAGCAGGAGTTCTCAAACTCTGCTGCATTTTAGAATCATCTGGGAGATTCTCAAAAATCCCAATGTCCAGGCCACACTCTATACAAATTAACTCTGAACATACGAGGGTGGGACACAGCTACCAGTTTTTGTTTTGTTTTTTAACTCCTAAGTGACTCCAGAATGTAGCCAAGTTCGATAACCAGTGCTCTAAAGGTATTTTATTGTTCCCCATAACACAGTTAGAACTTGAGAAATGAGGGAAGTTTCTGCAGAAGTGAATTACAGAGAATTGCTAATCTGCAAATTCCCAATTGGAAACGGCTAATGTAAGAGCAGTGATTCAGAGCCTAAATTCTGAAGTCAGACCGACCTAGACTGAATGCCCACGGCATCCTTTCTTATCTGTGTGTCTGTGGACCGGTTTCCTGGGCTCTCTCAGCTTCCGCCTCACATCTGCTCAGTAGGGATACAGAAGTAACTCACCACTTTGCAGAGCAGTGCAAATGAGTGAGACAACTCAACTAAAGAATTCAGCAGTACCTGTTACAAAGCCAAAGCTCAGTAAATATTAGCATCACAATTCCTCGTAGCGCTGACAAATTAAGTACAGGGGTTGGCAAAAGTAGGTTTATAGCTGTGAGTATGAGAAACAGAGTTTATCCTTGTATTATTTATTGATTATTGTGTTATTTGTATTACAACTATGAACCTACTTTTGCCCACCACTGTATATGTTCATAGATTTCTTCTGTAATGAACATATATTTTTGTGTGAGTGTGGTCCACAGACAAAAGTAACATAGCTTAAGTCAGAAATGGAGGCATTTTGCCAAAAAATAGTCACTGACTAGCAAACCACCAAAACA